TGTGTGCGTGTTATATTTTGATTTTCTATTCAAATCAAATATAATATAATTTTAAAAATTATTTAACACGGTAAAACGGTATTAAAATGTGGCATAATATCATATTTATTTATTGTAAATTAAAAAAAAAAGAAATTATGTAGCAAATAACAAAAAAAAAAAGTTGAAATTGATATTAAAATTTCATTTTTGGTCTAATTTATCTTATGGGCTTGTGGCCCATTATAGTTGACCCACCAAAATGGAACAATAAAAGGCTCGAGTGGCCCATTAACAAGATTTTGACCCGTCCTAAAGTCAAACCGGCAAATCCGAAACGATTTTTTCGAATTAAATATAATAATTAATATTATAAATCTACAACATTAAGTGCTTATTAATCAAAATTTAAGTGAAATTATAAATAAATTTTAAAAATTATTAATTATATGTATAGTAGAATGTCACACAAATAAAATCATTAAATTCATATTTGCTAAATATATATATTTCAGATTTATAATAGAGTGAGTTAGTAGGTTACCTGCCCCAATACCCATGTCTTATTATATTAATAATTATTGAATAAAATTAAATCACATAAAACAAAAATAAGAATAATTATTAAATCCAAAAATCTCTTTACTTTTTTTTAAAAAATATATATATATATATATTATAAAATAATATTTTATTGCAGTGCGTATAGGACAAATTGTACCACACCGCATTAGAGAGAGTGAAAGTAAATATATATATATATATTTATTATTATGAAATTGAAACCATGCATGTCATTGTAATTTATGGTTGATGAGTCAACCTTGAAAAAGAAAGTCCATAACTACAACTACAAACTCCTGTTTCCTTCACCTAAAATTTTGACTTCCTCCCCCAAATTATTGATTTACTTAATTTCACTGCTTCTTCCTTCTTTTTTTTTTTTTTAATTATTAAAAAAAAAGAAAAATAATAATAATATATTTAAATATGACGTCATTATTCAGCATTTTCTGTTGACTTAAATTTTCCATTCTTCCTGGTCGCAGTAGAAGGAACTAATCATCAGGTGCATGCATTGCTGCTGATGACTCACGAACCCAATTAAATCACCGTTGAAAAAGTCAAAATCGACTTAAAAGTCAAACCTTTAGGACTCGACCCTAAAAAAAAATCCCGAGGTCATTAACAGACAGCATCCCATATTAATTGGTTCGTGTTTCTAAAACTTTAGGTTAAAATTCGTATTATTATATTATTACATTATTATATTATTATATTATTATATTACTATTATCAAATTATTGTAAGGTCCCAATTTTTTTCTTCGTAATTTGTCTTTTTACTCCCACAGCTTCAACCGTTGCATGCAAATTAATGTAATTAAAATACCTTTTCCACGATTAAGTTATTCACTACACTCCAAATACGGTAAAGGGTGGTTTGAATTTCAAGTCACGTTTTGGATTAATTTCTTTGTATTTTTTTTTATTAAAACATGTAGGTGGGTGTGGTAAAAAAATAAAATATGTAAAAAAAAATAAAAATAAAAAATACCGTATTATAATTATTACGAGATATTTAATTTCATGTCGGATTCAATTTTATTTTTTCCTATTTAAATTACCCATTTTTTAATTAAGTATATCGTATTCGATAATTATTGTGACATGATTTTATGGTAAAACCCAGTTTTTTTTTTATTAAAAAAAACTTTAATCTTGTGAATAATATCTCCACGATCTTATTATATATGCAAATATATATATATATATTAAGATATTACACATAGAGATCCAGCTTGCATCAATTAATGTTATTAGGGTTTCTTTTTACCAAAAAAATTAAAGTTGTAAAGTTTATTAGTTTAAGTAAAGAAGAAAGGTGATCAAATTCTTCCACGCGAGAGACCTACCTTATTAAGGACAAAATCATGATATATGTATATATATTATTTCTTTTGCATATTATATATATATATATATATATATATTCTGGTGTGTGTGTGTGTGTGTTTATATACACACGTACATATAGATATATACATGTGTGTGTACGTATGCAAATTAAGACGAACAAAATCCTCCAATCAGCTGATCTTGAGAAGGGCACGTGAATTATCTTCATCTCATTATGGATCAAACCAAACTCTGACATCAATACATTTAATATCATATAATAATAATAATATTTAGACATTTAATAATTTTTTATAATTAATTTCACCATTTCCCCAGAAAAAAAAAAAGCTACATACTTTTCTAATTTGTTCTTTTTTTTTATGTAATCACCTTTCAAATATTGTTAAGATATGTAATTAGGATTTGATTAATTTTTAATCTATGACATTTAGTATAATACAAGTTTGATTCGAGGATTAAAAATAAATAATTATTTAATAATAAAATTGTAAATCTCAAATTTGCACAGATTAAACTGTGGTCCCTTTTCGATTAAGGAGCTTTGTATTTTACTCTACATACCCTAATTTGTTGGGTATAATGTTCGGGAGCCAACTAGTTTACAGCTAATCTCCACTATAAATTTCTTGGTTTTAAATATTAATTAAGTTAATGATGTAATTAATTAATTATAATTTAGTTAAATAGTTGGTAGAAATAATTTTTTTTTTTAACGTGCTACAAATTCATTCAAAACAAAACTGAAAATTAAGAAAATAATAAAGATAATTAAGTCAAGATATAATTCACCATAAACTTAAATTAAATATTAATTAATTATCTTAGTATTTTGTTTGGATAAAAATTAGGATGGAATATGTATATACCGGTAGACAAACAGACCGAACCGAAGAAACAAAAATTATAATGAAGAAACTCCTGGGGTGGTGGCGAACAACGCACGACAATAATAAAATAATAAGATTAAAATTCATAATAATAATTGTTGGTGAATTAAAAATAAAATATTTATTCAACATACCATGTCATGAGCCTGTCTAGAATATTCTTAAACAAGAAAACAAACATACAATCTGTATTTATAATTATTAATTTAATTGTTAGTTAATTAATAATAATAATAAGGCCGCCCCTAATTAAAAAAAAAAAAGGGGGGTTGCCCCGATCAATTTTTATTTGGGGTGCGCCAGGATAAACGGAAGTGCCCGTCTTGACCCTTTTTTTTTTTTCTTTTTATCTCACGACCCAAACAGAACTGTACAAGGACAAAAAGGGACATCCACTTGTATCGTTATTGCGTGGAGGGAAAGTCAATTCCTAACGGTATCTATCCACCGACCACCGACCTACTTTTTACCTCCTTCCATATTATTATTATTATTATTATTAATTTTTTTTTTAAAAAAAAATCACCATAATAAAAGTAAATTAATTTAATTTAATTTACCGCTTTTCATAATTTACAAATTAATTTTCGTAAATTAAATTAATGTTATTAAATTACTATAAATATTAGAAAATGTGTTAAAAAAAAAGGCTAGATTTTTATAAGAAATTACCTAAAGAAGGCACATCCGTCGTGGTCGACACCACTTATATAAAGAATAAAAAATTGAATTAATGAAAATTAAAAAAAAAAAGGAGGTTATTTGTGGTTGCTTTGCGAATCTGCCAAACACGGCCTAAGAAAATGCCTAGAGGAAGCCAACAAGAGTATGTTACACACGTACGTCTACCTCCTCGCGACCCCAACAATAGGGCAACATGGCGGTTCACTTCATTCTCTGTGCGTGTGTGTGTGTGTGTGTGTGTATATATATATATATGTATATATATTTATTAGATAAATGAATAGAATTGATAATTTTTAAAAAAAAATAAGGGAAAAAATCAGAAAGATTTGTGTCGGTGAGTTTGGATTTTGTCTTTTAAATTTTTTCAGAGCTCAATTGCTTTCTCTCTTATCAACATACGTGTAAGCTCGCCCTGTTGACAACCTCATTGCCCATCTAGCATGTAAGACTAAGCCCCCACCCCTTGTTCTTCTTCTTCTTCATCTTCTTCTTCATCATCTTCTTCTTCCACAACCCCAAAAAACTCTAAACAAACTCAGAGACACCAGACAGACCCAGCTCTTTCTTTCTCTCTCTCTCTCTGTTTTTTACTATTTGCACAGATCAAGGCGTTTTTTTTTTTTTCTATACCCAATTTTTCTTTCTAGGGTTTTTTTGCGTGTGGTACTATGGTTTTTTGAAGGGAAAGTGACGGAATCTAGAGAGAATTAGGGAAGAGGAAAAATATGGAGGGTGGAGCGGAGGTCGCGAGTTCGAGGAAGAGGACGATGGAGCGGCCGTACAAGGGGATAAGGATGAGAAAGTGGGGAAAGTGGGTGGCTGAGATTCGGGAGCCGAATAAACGATCAAGGATTTGGCTCGGCTCATATTCAACCCCTGTCGCGGCGGCTCGGGCGTATGACACGGCCGTCTTCTACCTTAGGGGACCCACCGCCAGGCTCAACTTCCCAGAGCTCCTCACGGGGGAGAAAGTCAGCGGAGGAGGCATCGGCGGGGGATCTGGCTCAGGCTCGTTAGGCGGCGATATGTCAGCCGCTTCCATAAGGAAAAAAGCCACCGAGGTCGGCGCGCAAGTCGACGCGCTGGAAACTGCTCTCCATCACCACCGTAACCTTAATCACAGCCACGATTACGCCGGCGATGGCCGAGATCATAATCACAGCCGGGAAGGTGAAAATAGGTCAGTGGATGGCAAGAGCACTTGCCGCGGGTTATTGGAGCGGGTTGACTTGAATAAGATACCAGACCCAGATAGTTCGGATGGCGAGTGATTATTAATTAGCGAAGGCATGGAATTAGAGACAAAGTGCAAGAATTGTCTCTTGATTTTTACCTTTTAGTGTCATGGAATCTTTTATTTCTCTTCTTCTTCTTCTTCTTCTTCTTCTTCTCCTTTGCCCTTTTTGGTAGTTTTCTTTTCCCTCTTTAATATATAACTTTGGGCTTTGATGGAAAAATTTTGGGGTTGTAAAAAAAAAAAAAAAAAAAAGGGGTTAAATTGTATATTATTAGCTTAATTTGGTTCTTATTATCTTCTAATTCTATCATTAATGGGACACTGATGTTATTGATATGGTCAGGAGTATGATGGAATAAGATTTTATGCCTGGAAAGAAACTAAACATGGTAATTCAGAAACCTTTTGGAGATTAAGAGAAAAGGGTCAAGAATTAGGGTTTTGTCAAGTTTGGAAACGAGTGATAAAAAATGAATAAATGGGTTATAAAAAGTGGGTATTTTGAAGGGATTAAGACCGGAAGCAGTTGGAGGAAATGGTAACTACCAAGAGATAAGATTATGGGAGTTAGGTTTTTTTTTTTTTTTTTTTTTTTTTTGTGGGGTAGGAGCCCTGAGAAAGGGTCGTATACATATGCATATATACATATAAATCGGGGACAGAGAGAGGAAATGCAGGTGAGGTCAGGGTCGTAGGCCTACCCTATGATCAATTGAAATGGTCCAACTTGGTGGGGGTGGTGGGGAGGAGATTTTGATGCTCTTTTTTTTTTTTTTTTGGTTTTTGTTCAAATATGGAATTTTCGTTCAACTGTCAAATCGCCGTTCCTCCCTCACTATGAACAAATTCAGTTTGTTTATTTTGGTGAAAATCAAATTGCTCTTGTAGAAATACAATCTCTAAATAAATAAATAAAAAATATATATATATATATATATAATGTGATTCGAAGAAATAGTATATAAATTTATATTTGATTATAACAAAGCGAGCTTTTAAGGTTAATATGTTTGACTTTTAAAAGCTATTAATCACAATTCCTACGTTAAAAGTTGTTGACTTTACCTTTTTATCACCACCACCATGTTAAATTACCGATGACACGACGTTGGTTCTTCCTTGATTGGCGGGGGATAATTAGGGTAATAACATTAATGATTTAATGTGAATTTTACGAGTTGGGTAATGAATATTTTCAATTTAGGAAGGTGTAATAAGGTATTAATCGAGATTTAATAAATTAAAAGTAATTTTTTGGTGAAAATATATATATATATATATATATATGTTTCATTAAGTCTTGTTCAAAGATGATGGATGCTTAAATTTACAATTCAATCTTTTTAATCAAAATATATAAGATTTTAAATAATTCATTTATAAAATGAACTTTGACGGGCTATCTAAATGTAGGTAGACATCGACATTTGATGGGAAACAAATGTGTAATGGAGGGGGGAATATTTAGAGGAAGTGGGGGGAAAAAAAAATGGGGGAAACTAGAAAAGCACTAAAAACCCATTTCTACTTGTTCCGACTCTTACAATCTTCACGGTCAAGTATGAAAAATGGTGGATTCATTTCTTCTATTGACAAACTAACCGCTTTGCGTCATTTGCAATGTTTCGAAGCAAACCCCCCCAAAAAAAATGGTTGCTTTCCTTCACTGTCAATCTTAAACTGCACAATTACGCTATCACATTTATAGGCCAGCATCAAGCTCAGTTTCAAAGGGTTTACATTATATCACTTTCATTTAATACTGTAATAGTAAGTAATGTTTAGAAAATAATAATAATAAAAACACACACACACACAAAAGTTTTAAGAGTGAAACACTATTCAAATACATCAGAATCAATATAAAAGGAGAAAAGTAAGGATCTCAAACAACCATGAATTTCTAGTGTACACCCGTTTGAGAAAAACAAGAACTACTAGAAATGACCAGTCTTTTTTTTTTTTTTTTTTTTCTCTGCTTGGAGAAAAAGGGAGACCGGCAACTGACAATAATTACTGCGTCCTAACTGTTTTTCATCCCCGTAAAAAAAGTATTTGTTATGGGCTTAGAATTTGTAAACGACAGTAATGGTTTGCCGTACAAACACGAAGACAAAATTGTACATTAAAAGCAGCTCCTCTTTTTCTTGGCTCTTTTCATTCATGTGACCGGCGACAGCTTTGCAGAACAAGCAGATTCCCTGCCGCATGTTGGACCGCCTTGAATTCCTCGCGATGTAGTGTTTACCTGTTACGCTTTCCTTTCGATATCTCGTTTTATTTGGAGTGCAGCTCTTACAACATTTCCTCTTGTGATTATCCCCACCTTATTATCAAGTACAGGCACCAGCAGCTCAGTAGTAATCACTCCCAATATAATTATCATATGTGCACTAGTTTTATGAATTATAAAGTATAGATCCGACCTATGTGGTTTGGTCTTATAACAGTTTTTTATATTGGTGATTTTTTTTTTTTTTTTTTGAAAAACTTGATACTATGAAATCTTTTGTCATTTTGCATAAAGCCATTAATTACTTAAAAATGCACAGTTGTAAGCTTTTAAATACGAATGAACATTTTGAAGCCAAACAAATAAAAACTAAATCACAAACCAAAATTACAGGCTAATTAAAAAAAAAAAACTAATATTTCTACGTAAAAATGACTGACTCAAATAATATGGAATTGACGGAAAAAAAAAAAAAAATTTACAGAATTAAATTGCAATCAATTCAAAGAATAGGAGCTAAAAACTAGTCTTTATTTGTTGCCATGGGGAAAGACAAGTCAATATAACAATAATGGATGTCTTACCAGTTTACCATCAGCATCTACCACAGGAAGCCGCCTGTATTTTGTCTCAAGCAATAATCTGTTATTCACAAAAGCGCAATGAAGTTCAATGCTTTTGCTTCCCACCAGGCAGGCAGAACAATGGGGGAAGGGAAATGTGGGGCACTGGGGTAGGGTGAATAAAGGGAAAAAAAAAAAAAAAAGCTTAGAAACCACAAACATCAAAAATATCATGTCAAACCTGGCAGCATCCTCAAGATTAGTGGTTTGCCGAACAACAACTGGCGCTGGTGTCATTAAATCACCAACAACTTTCCCGTTTGTTTTACTTAGCAACTTCTGTACTTCGTTAAAAGTCTGCACCAAGTAGTCAACATTAAGAAAGCACTTGGACAATCTGTAGATGCTTGTAGGTCAATTTACTTTTTTGTTTTCCTTAAGCGCCATCTAGGTTAGTCATTAGCATGGATGTCATGCAAACAATTTCCTGAGGATGCTGTGTGTCTTCTTTATATCCACTTTATCAAAAGACAGAAAGGAGTGCATTCGAGAGTCTATCAGGGTTTTACCAAATACTCTGACAGTTATGCCAGTCAGGATAAGAGTTCCCTTTCAACAGATTAGTTTAACTTATAAATCCTGATTGATTTGCATAGTAGCAGTCAGCAATAACAATGCCCAAGGAGAAGTAACAATTTCCTTTCTGGATTGTGATTATTCCTATTGAACAGACTTAAAGAGAAGGAATCCCATTTTAAACTATTGAAGAGCTAAGAATCCCTAGATCAATAATCAGGGGAAGCTAAATTGATAGCCACATAGGAAAAAGGTTCAACCTTAAACAGGTGTGAAGAAAAACTTTGTGCCATTCAACTAACTCAGTACCATGAGCACCCAAATCTTTGCCACACCAACAACTACCAAAAGTAGGGCCAGTTCAACTTTTTTCAGCTTCAACACTTTAAAAAACTTTCCATTTATTTATCAAACATCCCGAGTCAACTAAGAGCGAATATGTTAGGATATATTCACATGCAATCACATATGAAAGGAAATTTAGTACAAAGTAAGAAACTAAGAGTTCTTATGTAAATATGCGTCAAGACAGACAGAAGCCGAGCAGGCAAGGCTATCTTGTCCCCATTTTCATTCCCAAAAAAAACAATCGCCAAACTGATTGGGTTGGTTCAAATTAGGTTACGTAATGGGTAACTCACCAACTTTTTACTATGCTTTGACTGAGAAAAGTGAAAAAAGAAAAATGAAAAAAGGGGATGCTCACTCTGTCTTTACTTTTGGATTGAAGCAATAATTAGTAAAGGAAATGGAGAGATGATGAGCATCCACTCACTTCCTTTAAAATTTTAATTTTTCCCCTCCAAATTTGAGGAAAATGATTAAAAGAAAATTACTCCAAAAATTTTAAAGAATTTTTTTAAAAAAATTTTTTACTAGCTAACTTATCATTGTATTGACAAGAGATATTACTGAAGATTTTCTCATAACTAGTAATTCCTTCTACTTTACAAAGATAGCCAAAAGAGATTTTAAATCTAAACAAAAAGAAGAATTTTCTTTTTCCTTCCTTTCAATTCCTTTAGGATCATTATTTTTCTTTCCTTTCTTTTTCTCTCAAATCTTTTACAAATTTTTACCCAAACATATTATCAATTCAAAAACCCTGAAAAATTTTGGGGGAACAAATTTCCAAACAAAAAAACGAATTCCTAAAATGGATGAATCATGCAGAAATAAAGCAAACAAGGAATCAGTTCAATTCAGGGCCACCACAAACACATGCGCAGATCATTGATGTTTGAACCCATGTTTAGTTGACTAGAATGCATACTTGGAAAATCCCAGTTCATCGAAATCCAATCAAGACTTCTCACAATACTAACCCTCTATCCTAAACTCCGTATTAACACAATCTTTAAACAAAATCAACAGGGATCTTAAGCTCACTACCGAGTAGCGATCAAGAGACAGAAACTGTTGGCCTGTAACAGATGAGGGATTGAGTTTCTCAGCCAACATCATCTCTCCCTCGGTAAAACACTTCCCTTTCTAGGACACATTACCTTGGACAGTAAATACTTTCATATCAATTGCCTCATCAAGCAGTGTCAGTCCTTTTTATGGGCTTCTATTGATTAAATAACATTCCACTGTCTCAATCCTAACTTACCTGCCTCTTTTGGCATGTGTCATTATAACGCAAGTTACTATGATACCCATACTAGAAAAACAGTTAGAAGACAACGATAGCAAGAATAAATGATGGGGGGGACAGTTGTCACATACTTTCCAAGTGCTGTCAACTTCAGGAAACATGCCGTTATCTGTTCGCCCACCACCTATTTGCAAAATGAAGAGAGCCCACATTGTATAAGAAATGAATGTCATCTTTTTTTAACATAAGAATGAATATCATCATACACATGTCAACTTTTCCAGTTTCATAGAAGAGAAATCAGAAACTAAACTAGGTATAAACAAAAATTTGACTGCTATCATCACTGACTCCCTTGAAGGAGAGACACTGCAGATTTTCTATAGCTTTTGCTTAATCTTCCATTTGTGGAACACCATATTTGCTTCAAAGCGAAGCATTTGAGAATTTGATTATTAAACATAGTGAAGAAACATGATTTCACAGAAAAGTTGCCACTTTCACTGAGCTTCCAAAAATAGGTGTCCTCGACTAGATAATTCACTGAGGACGTTTCAGGGCTAACCAGCATATTTTCATACTCCTCAATCTCTCTGTTGTTCAAATTCTGAGTGAGAATAATGTGTCAAGCAACAATGCTCCCATTCCGAATGAAACACTCCCCTACTTTGCCTCCTTATTATGAGCTACAGAAAAAGATAATGAGGGCCCTGAATTTCAGGGCTAGATCTCCATACCACACATCATATCAGAAACTAATCATTTTCCAATTGCCTGCTTTTATGAATCCTGACAAGTCAGTCCAGCTTCTCCTAATAGCCTTTCATAAACTTGGGCAGTAAGCTCCTCTAATGGTTCCAATCATCAAACTCCCGTTAACGTCCCATACCTCTACATCTATCAACACCCAATATGTGGAAGATCTTCTGTCTCCGAATCCACAGGAAATGAAAAAGATAACCTTTATATTTATCAACCAACTCCAGCACCTAATTGTTTGACATAAACAATGCCACCAAAGCCAGTAGTAAATAACTGGTATCCCAAGTCAATCGGCATATCTCCTGGCTATAATTGGCTGGGCTTGATCGTGGCCCCGGAACAGCAGTTTTCATGTGCAGCTAGTTGAGAGATCTAGTTTTAAACCAGCCAATCTGCGCATGAAGGTTAAGGAGCATGGTGGATTTTTTATGTGCTATTCCAAAATACAGGACTTCAAGCCCACATCAATAGCATATGATTATGGTTCTCTAAAGACCCATATTAACATGCTAAAAGCACCAATTTCAACATTTTTTTCAATGCCCGTCAACTACAGAAGAATAATCGCAAATACCAGACTGGAGACAAGGATAAAAGAACAGTCTAGGTACATATAGGACGTACATGATGAAAATACAAAACCTGATCTAGTTCTTAAATGAAGAGAAAATATTGGAAATATTCAGATCTATTTGTATATTATCTCCAAAATTAAGGTCTTTAGTCGCCATAGATAAGACAATTAAATAACCAATATAAAAATTACCAGAATTAAAAGGTAGATGTGCTTGATGATGTTAATTTACCAGATATGGAGTCCAATGCTAACAAATCATAATCTGAAACAAGACCAACCTGCAATAGCCAAAATCAATTCTAAGATCTCCACATTATATAAATGTTAACCTGATAGCAGATCACATAAATAATGCAGAATTGCTTAACTAAACAAGAAGAAACAACAAACAGTCTCGCCCCCAATCATCACCACAACCAAAAGAAACATACACACACAAAATAACAACATCGAGAAAAGGGGGTACAAAAGATACTGAGAACTACAGAAAAACACACTTAAACAGTCATGTGACCTGCAAACTATCAAGCAATGCAATAAAAAAATATTAATTCACTAAGATGAGTAGGAAAAACTTACTATTTTCCAGTCATCATCAATTACAGGAAAACCGGTGATCCTATGTTCCACAAGGGCTTCCAGTGCTGTTGATACACGGTTTAAGCATCAGAAAAGGAAAAAAACAAATGGAACCAGACAGTCAGAGATAGAAATTGAGCATGATAAATACCTTCATCTACAGTTGTTGTAGGCTTTACCACATGCAAGTCTTCTTTTCTTGTCATGAACTCGCCAACTGTATATATTCCACTTCTTGGCTGCAAAGGAAACAAATGTAATAAGCCCATGTCTGAGTCATTTTAAGTAATATCAGTTACGATTGCTGATATGACATTTGCCTAATTGGTAGATATAATAAATGCATAATTTTTCCAAAATGCATAAGGCAGAGTATTCGAAATGAAATTCATTATGCAAATAATGAAACACGGCAATAGAGGAAATGTACCTATCACTTAAAGCCGCTATAGACGGACCTAAGAAGCAAAAGCATGCAGGGAAAGAAAATGCAGACCGACCAAGTTGAAATTCAGCAGAACTCTCTTCACTTTTTCAAATGCTATGGTTTCTGTACTTTCTAATTCCTCATGACATATTATAAAAACAGTCTTTCGGCAACACCTATGCTGAAAAACATCATTTGACACACAACTTTCTCAAAATAAAATATCTCCCTATTAGACCAGTCGGATGGTCTACTGCTTTCCTTTGCTCTGAAAGAGACTTTGCCTCGCCAAAAAATTGCTTATAATATACACATCCATATATAAAAGCATAAATAGAGAAAATTATTTTGATTAAAAACTGTTAAACGAACAGCTTCAGCGTCACGTAAACACTGGCCACTGGATTTTTCGATAAAAATTCACGATAGACGTTTGTGATTTTTAATAATACAACTGACTTGTGTCTAAATCAATAAATTTAAAAATTCCAATCCAATCAAATAAGACCCCCTACAGTCAGCACTTCGTCACAATTTATCAAATTATAGACATGAATCTGTAATGGATGCCACTAAAGGTGAACTTTCTCTGTTTCCCAGAGCACGTTAAACCCTAAATTAGCAACAGGACAAACTTCATATCTATGAACAAGCCACTAAACTTGTTCAGGAAAAAAAAAATAACAAAAATAATAAGACTACAAATGAAAGGAGGAGACGATAAGCCGATAAGATAACAGGAAACTAACCGAAACGGAATTTGCCGTCAAGGTAGCACTAGTAGCCATAGCGGAAGACCTGCGGGAAGCGGAAACTCGAGAGACAGCGGCCGCGGAGACGGCAAGGAAACGAGGATGACCGGGACGGCGGATGAGAAGACACGGTAGATGGAGTGCCGGCGAGGCAGTTGCAGAGGTGACGGAGCGTTGGCGCGTGAGGGAGAGCGGGTAACGGTGGAGGAGAGAGTCCATTGTTTTCAGCTTTCTTTTGGCGGTTGAAGGAGGGACAGAGAAGACGCGAAGGATTTTTGCGTACGGTGCAGCGAGAAGAACCTCGCAAGCCGTGCGAAATACGAATACGACTGTGATATTTCGCTCTGGAAATGATTAAAAGGCCCCGGCTGCTGATATCATCTTCCTCTTAAACTGCACGGTCGCAGATATTATAATTTGAAAAATTATTAAATTTAATTCATAAATTACGCCATCAATTTAGTTTTTAAAATTTGGATTTCGATAGTCATTTAAATTTAATTTTCTAATAAAAAAATGAAAAACGTATTAATATTTTTTATTTTAAATATAAATGTATAAAATATAATAAAAAAATATCTAATATTTTTATAAATTATACAAAAATAAATTGATTTCTTATATTTTTAATTTTAATATATTTTTTACACGTTAATTTTATAATTTACTAAATTTATTATTAATTATTAAATAATATTTTATTATCATATTTTACTAAAGTTTGAGCATTTAACTTATAATGTTATATGCATCAAATATAAAATGTTTGTTGGATATATTTTATATGTTTAAAATTACAAAATTTTTTTAAAAAAAATATTTTGAATATCACTGGAAGTGTCATCATGAATTAATATATGAATTAGTAATAATTTATTAGATAGACATTATCGAATGTCGTTTTTTTATAAAAAGTTATGAATAATTAGCTGATAACGAAAAAATTAGTATTTTCTACATTATATGAAGTCATTAAATAATTGTGAACTTACGAATATTTGAATTGGAATAGTAAAAAAAAAATTATTTATTTTATAAAATGACGAAATATCCTTGTGAACAATCTATTTTAACAGGGAAGTCTTACATTTTTAAATTAATTCATCAAGTCGACGATAAAATATATTGGTGTTCAAAATATTTTG